ATATATATATATATATATAGTATATCTACCAAATAGCTCGGTATTTCCATGGCGTTCCAACTCTCCCCAACAACAAAAAATTTTGTCCCCAAAAATTCACTTACTCAAAAAGAGATATAGGTATTGATCCTTCATCCTATCTTCCAACTCCCAAGTGGCTTCATTAATAACCTCATCCCAAATAACCTTTACCAAATTGATAGATTTACCCCGCAACTGTTTAACTTTCTTATCTACCACTGAGATTGGCTGTTTCTTAAAAGTTAAATTCTCCTTAACTTGCACTACCTCTGATTCCAAGACATGACTCGGATCGTGAATATACTTCCTCAGTTGTGAAACATGGAACACATCATGCAAATTAGACAGGAATGGAGGTAATGCAATCTGATATGCCACTTATCCAATCCTCTTGAGAATTTGATATAGCCCAATAAACTTAGGATTCAACTTCTTAGCTTTAATAGCTCTTCCCACACCTGTGGTAGGATTTACCTTCAAAAATACATGTTCTCCCTCTGAAAACTCCAAAGGTTTCCTCCTCTTGTCTGCATAAGACTTTTGCCTACTCTAAGCAGCTTTCATTCTTTCTTGAATTTGTTTCACTTTTTCGGTAGTAGTCTGTAAGATAATCTTTGGCCCCATCATCATTGATTCTCCCTCTTTAAACCAACACAAAGGTGTTTGACACTTCTTCCCATACAGAGCCTCAAATGGTGCGATTCTTATACTTGCATGAAAACTGTTATTATAAGTGAACTCGACCAAAGGCAACATTTCTTCCTAACTCCCTAGATGATCCAAAATAAAAGCCCTCAATAAGTCCTCCAAAGATTGGATAGTCCACTCAAACTGCCCATCAGTCTGTGGGTGATAAGCAGAACTGAGTCTCAACTTAGTCCCTAACGCCTGGTGCAAACTCTGCCAAAATCGGGAGGTAAAATGAGGATCCCTATCAGAGATGAATCTGGAGGGCACACCATGTAATCTAACTATCTCCTTAACATACAACTGAGTTAACTTTTCCAAGGACCATTTTATATTCACTGGAAGAAAATGAGCACACTTAGTTAATCTATCCACAATCACCCAAATAGAATCACAATTCTTAGCAAACCTTAGCAAACCAACAACAAAATCCATGGCGATACTATCCCATTTCCATTTTGGCATTTTCATCATCTGTAACAAACCTCCTGGTTTTTGAGGTTCTACCTTAGCTTTCTGACACACAATGCAAGTTGCAACATACTCGGCCACCTCCCTTTTCATACCATTCCACCAAAACATTCTCTTTAAATCTTGATACATCTTTGTCATCCCCGGATGCATACTCAACTTGCTTTTATGACCTTCTTCAAGTATCAAATTCTTCAACTCTCCATCTTGTGGAATACAAATTCTGCCCTTGTATCTCAAAACCCCATCCACATCTTCTTCAAATCCTTCAGCTCTCTCAGAACCCAACAACTCTCTAACCTTAATCAAACCCACATCCTGAGTTTGTTTTTGTTTCACCATCTCCAAGAAATCACTAGTAATGGTAGTCATACCACAACTAATAAAATTTGAAGCAACCAAAACGTTAAGATTCATATTCCTGAATTTCTCTACTAACTCCATCTCTTTAACCATCATGTAAGACATATGAAGATATTTTCTGCTCAAAGCATCTGCTACCACATTCACTTTACCTGGATGGTACATTAACTGAAAGTCATAATCTTTCAAAAACTCAATCCACCTCCTTTACCTCAATCCACCGCAGCCAACTCTGGATCATGCGTAGGATAATTTCGTTCATGAGTCTTCAACTGTCTAGATGCATTGCATAAGAAAACATCCTAAACCTTGATGAGATGCATCACAATAAACCTCAAATGATTTATTAGGATCCGACATAATCAACACAGGAGATGACGTGTTCCTTTAACTCTTGAAAACTCTTCTCACACTCCTCCATCCATACAAAAGGATGATCCTTCCTGGTTAGCTGTGTCAAAGGCATAAATATTTTAGAAAACCTTTCTATGAATCTCCTATAATAGCCAGCCAATCCCACAAAATCTCTAACTTCAATAACTGATTTCAGACCATTTCGGACGCTCCCACCTCAAAACCGCTTCCACCTTAGTATGATCAACTACAATTCCTTGTGCAGAAATCATATGACCCAAGAACTTAACTTCAGATAACCAAAACTCACATTTCAGCAACTTTGCAAATAATTGTTTCTCCTTCAATACTTGCAAAACTATCCTCAAATGTTCTCTATGTTCTTCCATAGATCTAGAATAAAGCAAAATTTCATCAATGAACACCACAACAAACTTATCCAGAAAGGGTCTGAAAATCCTGTTCATATAATCCATGAAAATAGCTGGAGCATTCGTCACTCCAAAAGGCATAACAACATATTCATAATGGCCATACCGAGTCCTGAAAGCAGTTTTTTCGTATGTCCTCCTCCTTTACCCGAATCTGGTGATACCCAGACCTCAAATCAATCTTGGAGAAAACAAAAGCTCCCGTCAACTGGTCCATCAAATCATCTATCCTTGGCAATGGATACTTATTCTTGATTGTCAATTTTTTTTACTGCCTATAATCCACACATAAGCTCACACCACCATCCTTCTTCTTTACCAATAACACGGGTGCTCCCCACAGAAACACACTAGGTCTGATCATCTGTTTCTCCAAAAGTTCCTCAATCTGCTTCTTCAATTCAGACAACTCCGCTTGTGCCATTCTATAAGGAGAAATAGACACTGGTCTTGCCCCTGTTGTAAGATCAATACTAAACTCCAACTCTTGTTTTGGTGGTAACCCTGAAACATCATCTGAAAAAACCTCTAGGAAATCTCTAACAACATCAATACTATTTAACAAATTTTCATTCTCTAAACTGATAAAAGATAGGATCATAAACCCAAGAGCTCCACACTTCAACAACTGATCCACCTGTCCACTAGAAATAAATCTCTCCTATTCAACAGTAGGAAACATTAATCTCTTCTTTGAACAATCTATAAAAATCCCGTTGGCAAAAAGCCAATCCATCCCTAAAATCACATCCAAATCGGATACAGGTAAACAAAAGTTCACTTTATAACAACTCCCTTCCACCTCCACTGGACATCTTAAAAAAACCTCAGAAGTTAAAACAGACCCTGAAGCTGGGGTAGAAACGACTAGATACACACACAATGAACTCACAACCAAATTTAACCTTGCCACACATTCATAAGAAATCAAAGAATGTGAAGCACCAGAATCAAATAGAATAGAAATATCATTACCATCAGCTTTGCCCTTTCCCTTTACCAGCTCAGATGATGTTTCAGCTTCAGCACCTGTTAAAGAAAAAACACAACCTGCTGCAGTAGGCCGATCCACTTTCTGGTTTCCTCTAGCTTGATTATTTCTTACATTGTAATCCTTAGCCATGTGAACCACCTTGCCACATTTAAAACACACATAGTCCTTTGTAGGAAAATCCCTCATCATATGTGGGCCTCCACATCTGTAACATCTAAAACTCTGAACAACTCCTGTAGTAGTAGTCCCCATTGGTTTCTTATTAGCATTCCCCTTCTAAAACTGAGATGGTCTCTTTTGGGGATGTTTCCCCCTTCCAAATTTAGATGATCTGATGGAAAACCTTGTTGAGAATCTGGATTGATGTTCAATCCTTTTCAAGTTCCTCCCTAGATCTTCAGCTCCTTGATTCTTCTTAAGCTTTCCTAAGGTCTCCAATGGAGGAGGAGACCTTAGAGCCACCACAGTTTGGTGGAGAACTCCCCCAAGAGATGCCACTCGTTGATGAAGAGATAAGTCTCTTTAATTCTCATCACACTCTTATAGTGAAGGGATAAGAGAATTGGATGAATATCAAAGAGGTTTAGGGACTTTTAGAAGAGAGAAATCTGAGTAATCTTCAGAAAATAAATCTCAATATATCCAAAAGTGTTTTACAATGAAGGAAAAACAAATATATAGGAGTAGGAAGCTTAGAGAGCAAGCTAGGCTTAACCATGGTTCACTAGGAACCATGGTAAAGTCTAGCTAACCGTCCATGGTCTAGAATCTTGGAGAGCAAGCCTCTCACTTAGCTTGCTTGGTAAGCAAGCTAAGGAGAAGCTTATGCTACAAGCTTTGAGAGATAGAAGGCAATTCTGGCCAAGTGAAGGACTAGGCAAGGTGGGCGGCCAAAGCTCTCATTTATGCTCTAACCGATTTTGAAAAAATGTTGATTTAATTTAGTTAGGATCATCCAATGTGAATGGAACCTAGATAAATCAAATCTATGAAAAATTAGGAGAAAAATGAGTCTAATATGTAAAATTTTGCCTAGGCCCATCTCTGGCCCAATTTCTAGTAACACTCTCTAGCTTGCTAGTCACACTCTCTAGCTTGATAATGCCACTCTATGGAAGATAAAAGCAATCCTAAAAAATTTAAAAAGACATAAAAAGAATACCTAAGGCATACACAAAGATTGATTCACAAGAATTTAGAACATGAATAAAGAACAAGCAAGACAAAGTGAGTGTGTTCTATAGATTTATTAATGTGACACAAGAACCACTCAAGGCACACAAACTCAAGAAAATTAAAGGAAATACATGTAGGAAGACATTAGACACAATATAGCATGTTTTTCACCAAACAAATTGAAAGAACAAAGCTCAAGAACGAATTTACCAAGAAGACCTAGCTCTTGATACCAAATGATGGAAAACCTTGTTGAGAATCCGGATTGATGTTGAATCCTCTTTAAGCTCCTCCCTAGATCTTCGGCTCCTTGATTCTTCTTAAGCTTTCCTAAGGTCCCTAATAGAGGAGGAGACCTTAGAGCCACCACGGTTTGGTGGAGAACTCTCCTAAGAGACGCCACTCCTTGATGAAGAGATAAGTCTCTTCAGTTCTCACCATACTCTTCTAGTGAAAGGATAAGAGAATTGGATGAATATCAAAGAGGTTTAGGGACTTTTAGAAGAGAGAAATCTGAATAATCTTCAGAAAATACACTTTTGGATGATATTTTTGAGTGAGATCAGAATTTGCACGAAAATTCTCTCTTCCAAAAGTCTTTAACCTCTTTAATATTCATCCAATTCTCTTATCCCTTCCATAGAAGAGTGTGGTGAGAATTGAAGAGACTTATCTCTTCACCAAGGAGTGGCGTCTCTTGAGAGTGTTCCCCACCAAACCGTGGTGGTTCTAAGGTCTCTTCCTCCATTGGAGACCTTAGAGAAGCTTAAGAAGAATCAAGGAGCCAAAGGTCTAGGGAGGAACTTGAAGAGGATTCATATCAATCCGGATTCTCCATCAAGTTTTCCATCAAAAACAAAATTTGTTCTATGAATTTGAGTATTTGAAAGTCTTTTTCCAACCACTGGACAAGCAAATCTCAAGAAAATTCATAAAAAAATTCAAGGCCAAGTGCTACTTTAGTGTTTTGTTTTCACTTTCCTTTTTCTAGGTTTTTCTCTTTTGTTTTCTTTTCTTTTTCTTGTATTTTTGTCTCTTTCTTTTATTTCCTTTATTTGAATACAGATTATAAGCACTTAAAACAGAGGCCAAAAAATTAATAAAGAGGTTTCCAAATGGTGGAGAAAAGAGAAGTAAAAGAGTAAGAAGTGTAAATGTACTAGTCAAAATTTTCAACCACAAAATGTTACTAGCTTTGATACTAGTTTGTTCTTATCTTTTGTACACTTTGATTTTCGTTTTTAATACACTTCTAACTCTGTTTTCTTTTTTCAAAACAAGCACAAGACACACAAGGAATTGCTGGCCACAAATTGCTAAGAAACTAATAGCAAATGAAGTTCACAAAAAAAATTGACTCTAGAACTTGTTAGGACTAATAACATGCATTGGAATCATTTTATGAACACTCTAAGAGTATTAATGTTCAGCCAGAAATGACACCAAACATGAACAGAGATCAATTCATATAGATTCAAAAATAAAAAGGAACAACAAGGATTTAATGACAAGCAAAACAACTACACATGACTCTAGGACAAAACTAGAAGATTAAGAAATATAAAATGCTTGTATTCTTGTTTCTTTTTAGGAGTTTCTTTTTAGTCCAAAATTAATAGGAGTCCAATGGAAGATAAAAGCAATCCTAAAAAATTTAAAAAGACATAAAAAGAATACCTAAGGCATACACAAAGATTGATTCACAAGAATTTAGAACATGAATAAAGAACAAGCAAGACAAAGTGAGTGTGTTCTATAGATTTATTAATGTGACACAAGAACCACTCAAGGCACACAAACTCAAGAAAATTAAAGGAAATACATGTAGGAAGACATTAGACACAATATAGCATGTTTTTCACCAAACAAAAAGCACTTAAAACACTTTATAGAACTAGTCCTAGTTTCATTGAAAGGTTTTTATTTTTCTTTTTCTAGTGGTCTATCTTTTGGATAGGAGGGGTGACCCTCCTTCTTGATGCCTTTTCTAGGGTACGAGTTAGATTCCTTCCTAAGGCTAGGATTTCTCCTAAGTTGTTGTTCTACCCTCACACAAAGTTGAACCAATTCATTAAGGTCTCTATAAGGTAGTAGTTCAACCTTGTCCCTAATCTCTAGGTTTAGACCACTTTGAAACCTAGCAATGGTGGTTCTCTCTTTTTCCCTAATGCCGGCCCTCATCATAAGCAACTCCATTTGTTGCCTATATTCCTCAACACTAAGGTTTCTTTGTTGGAGTCTTTGGAGCTTGTCCATTAACTCCCTCTCAAAATAAGGAGGAATGTGCCTTCTCCGTAAGGCACTTCTAAGCTCATTCCAATATTGAATTGGAGGCTTATGATGAGTTCTTCTTTCCCTTTCAAGGGAAGTCCACCAATATATGGCATACCCTTGAAAGCTTAGGGTAGCCATGGGAACCCTTCTCTCTTCACTTACATTGTGGCAAGTGAAGAGTTGTTCAACCTTCATCTCTCAATCTAGATAATCATCAACATTGTCTTTTCCATGGAAGGGAGAAAGGTCAAACCTAGGTTCTCTAAGAGTAGTTGTTTCATGCCTAGGCCTATGTTGCCTAGGGGGTCTTTGATAGTAGCCATCATCATGGTGACTACTATAAAACCCATCACTTGATGAGTGAGTGTGTGAATATTGGCTCTTGGGCCGTGATGGTTCTTCATCATGTTTATTTTTATGAGGCCTAGAAGGCCCTTCACCATCATGTCTTTTGGGCCTAGTAGGCCCATGACCCTCATTGGCATCGGGTTTGCTAGCTTCACACCCCACCACAAGCTTACTCAACAACTCTCTTATTGTCTCATTGTTTTTTTCATTTTCTCTCTTTGTTTCTAATATAGTTCCTAAGTTCTCTAAGCTCATTTTTAGTACTCCTATGACTTCTAGGAGAATTATGACCATGCACACTACTTTCATGAGAATGATCACTCATTTTTGCAAGAGAAAGGTTTTCACAAATCTTAAGAAATTTTGGAAATTGAGTGATAAAGATTTTCTCTTTTAGGTGTAAGACTAAGTACTTGGAGGTCTAAGTATACAAGTTGCACTATCAAGGGAGGTGAGCTACAAGGAGCCACTTAATAACCAAGCCTTTTCAAGTGGAAATTACTAAACCCCCTTATACTTGTCTTACAAAACAAATTTTTCACACAAGCAAGTCAAGTAGTTGTGTGTGTGTGCACGCAACCCCTATTAGGCAAAGGAAGCCTTCTAAACGAGCTTAGAATTAAAACAAGTTAAAGGAAAGCAAGTAAAGCATACACTAGTCGTATGGTCCTAAGGTGGAAGTCCAAGTGATACTTGAAGCCTTTTGGGACACTTCCACAAGTCCTAAACATATTATGAAAGCAAGTAAACTAGGCGTCTCCTAGTGGAAGCCCAAATGACACTTGAAGCCTTTGGGGACCCTTCCACAAGTACTAAACGTATCTAGGAATCTTTATTTAGAACTATTTAGGAAGTGGTGGGAGTTAATCAATTTCCTAAACAACCACTCCTAAATGTAAGTTTGTTTTAACAAAAAGGAAATTAAAAGGTTAACCCAAGGTAGGGTTAAGGAGTTACAAACAATGGAAGCAACACAAATCAAGACTACTTGAAGAACTTCCACCAAAAGAGGTTGGTAACAAGCTTGGAACAGCCTTGGAGTCAAGTTGAATGGCCAATTTGAAGGTGGAAAATTGGTCTTCACAAATCTGTCTCTAAGCCTCCAAATCCGTCACTAGTTCTTCAAATCCGTCTCTAATTCCCTTCTAAAATCCATCGCCTAATTTGACCTAAAATTAGGAACAAGTCTTGGTTGCAAAAGGAAAAAACAAGTGAGCCTTTCCAAGGTGTTTCACTCAAGAAATCTGTACCTTAATCTTCTTCAAGTGTTGACCTCTTTGAGATTAACCCAATGTGTCTCAATTAGCTCTTCCTTCCAAGTGTAATGGCTTGAAAAAAGAATTATATCTCACCAAGGCTTAACAATCAACAAGAGAGAGTAGAGGCTAAAAAATTAAAACTGAAAAGGCACAATTAGAATAGGCTACACTCTTATAGGAATTAATGTGTCAAAA